TTCTAAATTTCATGTTTCAAATTTACTCCCTCCCTTATTCTTTTTTTTTTTTTTTTTTTTTTTTGATTGTACATTTGTTTTATTAAGACAAAAATAAATGCAGCTTTTCTCATGGAGCCCTTTGCTCTTCTTCATTTCTAGCCTCACTGATCATTACTTACCTAACCTAAATGATACTACATTCTCACGCAGCTTAAGATTTCCCCCTGGTGTATGCATGATTTTCCTAGACAGCTTTGTAATTGATTATGCAGAAAACAAATGACAAAGTCATGTATCATTTATGGTTGTCTGCTGGGAGTTATACAGAAATGAGGGAAAATGGAAAGATTTTTAATATTAAAAGAAAAATACTATGGTTGTTTCAGCCCTAAAGCAACCATTTTAACTTAATAGAGTTATATAATTTTACCAATTAAATATGAAAACAGCATGTTTGTATTCGACTTCCTTGTGTGCGTATGTGTTTAGGTGATGCTTTCAAACCCAGTAACAGAAAATGCAGTGAATGCAGAAGCAGCAGAAATGCTGAAGAACAATATGCCTCTGTATAGGCAAATGGTTATGCAGTGTGTTAGAAATAGCCTGCACCCTGAAGGTAATGTTGTCTTTTTTTTATTATTATTCAGAAATAAGCACTTAGAATTTTTGAACTCTTTAAATGATTCTGAAACCTCTTTGAGCGGTAAATTTGAGTGATGATTTAATTTAAATTAACATGAAGCAGAGTTTTGAAAGCAACTACATAGTCTGAATTCAGGTAACATCTTATAAATGATGTCGTGGTGAATGAGATCCAGTGAAATTCATATGTTCTGGTGAATGCAGTGGAGATAAAACAGGGAGACGGGAAGTGCTGGTATTTTTTCTGTGACACACCAGCTGTTTTCTCTGCCCTGCAGTCTAAGCATAGTACAGCCACTCAACAAATATTGGCTTTATTTCAAGGAAACAAACAGAAAACAAAACTCCATCCATTCAAGCCATCTAATGAAAGCAGACAGAAATCCCCATTCAAGTCTCTTCTTCCTCTCCCTGTCCAGCCACTTCTGGAATGGAGGAAAAAACCTTCTCAACTGAAGGAAAGTCCCCAAAAGTCCTCCACCTCCAGAGAATCCCTTTTTTGCCATCCCTTTTGGTCTAGCCCTTAGTGACTGCTAGCAGGGGATGCTGTTTCTCAGCGCAATGGGGCAAACTCTTCTTTGGGGGTTTTAAAGGCTGTTTGTGTCCTGCTTGCAGCACCTGGGCTGACTGAGCTCAGTGATTCTGGTTTATAGTGATCAGTTGGCAAAATGCATTTAGACTCAAACTCGTGGCTGCTTCCTCAGTTTCCTTAGTAAGTGTCATACGGGAGAAGGTGAGTGCAGGCATGGATCCCATGCTTGGTTCTTCAACACCACAGAGCAGAGGCTTTAGCTCCTTCCAGGGGCACAAAGTGTCTGGAGCCTGGTGGTAATGGGAGAGCCCCCATTAGCCTCACAGCAGCAAAGCTCTGCTTTCATAATTAACTTCATAATTACCTTGTGGGCCWGCTGCCTCTTCGTGTTCCTTCATTTCTCACATTCTTTTAACGTGGTGTGAGAAGCTTAGAATGCAAAAGGAAATCGAGGTCAGTATTGCAATTTAAGTATATATATAGCCAATTTTTAACTACATGGCTGTTAGAGAAGGAGGATCAGTTTCTGTGCTGCCAAGTCAGCGTGGCTTCCACTGAACTGAATCAGTTAACACCACTTAGGATCAAGATGACCAGTTTTCTAAAATTGCTCTGTTTTTCTTTGCAGAACTTCCTCGTACTGAGAAAGATCGTGTTTCTTCTTTGGAGTTTTACCAGCCAATTGAAGGATCTTCTCTGGACTTTGCTAGGTAACAAATTACTGTGAATATGTTGATTTCACTGTCACTTTTTCAGAAAAAGCACCGTAAATCCAGGATGTTTTGGATCTATATCCTAAAGACAGCAGTTATTTTCTTTTTCCTGTTAGTGAATATTCTCAATTATTTAATTTCCTTTGGAGACGTTTGGCAAGTAGTTTCCTTCCTAGCTACTGCCAGTAACTCTTGTTCCTAAATGAAACAAGTTCATCACCTATAGGAGCGTAGCCAGGAAATTTGTCACTATTGGGCCAAGTGATATTTTTATTTGACCTAATCAATGGCATTTTTTTCAGGCAATACATATTTTAAGATAATTTGTTATATTATTAGATGGCATAGAGAAACCAATGAATTTATTGAAAAAAAAAAAAAAAGGTCATTTTTTATGCTATATTTCTTTTTGTACTTGTTGGGTTGTACAGGGAATCGTGGTTGAAATGTTTCCCAAGTTAACTTTCGGACTAACACATGGAGCCAGATTCTTTTTTCTCAGTTCAGTTGCTTTTGCCTCCCTCCAGAATTCGGCAGTACTTGGCCTGCTGACAGGTTTTTTTTTTTTTTTTTTTTTTTTTAAGGACAAGAAGTTCTCAGCCCCTGTAATAGTAGTGCACTGGATTCTGAACTCCTATTTACAGAGCTTACTAATAGGGATATGCCTGAGACAGTAAGGGTCGAATTTAGAAGTTAACTTCTGATCCACTTCTGAAGTTGAAGTTAAATTCTGATCCACTTTAGTGGGAACAGGATTGCATTTCTGAGGTTTTTTTTTGTCCATGAATGTCAGTAGGTACATAACCAGAGTGATTACAAACCTCAATCAAATAGCCTCTGCTTTTCCTCAAAGTTTTACTTATCTAGTCTTGCCTTCCATTCTCATACACTCAACTTCCACTATTTTCATTACAAGTTTTAAGTGTGGAATGGAAGGGAATTGAGATCCGTAATGGAATCGTTTCCTTTTATGGAAACAGCTTTAAATATTGCTAAAAGTAAAAGGCCTCTAGCAAGAAGCTTTTGACATTTTACAGGTCTGCAGTGGCAAGGGAGGTTGGAAGGATATCAAAGAGACAAAAATAATGTTCATCACTGTGCTCAAAAGCCCATCTTTTTCATAACTAGTGTCTTCCTCTCACTTTCATTGTTACTTCCTGAAAGATAATAGAGAGTAGAAGAATCACAGGGGATTTTGTAATTCAGACAGTGATTCAATCTTGTTGTTTTGTTATGTATAAAATTACATTGGCCTGATATATTTTGTATACAATTTAATCCTCTCCCCAATCAATTATTTTTATAGAAGCAGGAGTAATAAGAATGAGATAACGCAGAGCTTTAGGAGGGCGCCAAGGCAGACAGTGCTGGCTGGCCGCGAGCAGCAGACACGAGTCGCGTGCGAGTTTGCCAGGTTTTTGGTGGAGGCCAGTGAAGGGGACACAATTTTTAATTTTCCTCTTGCCCATAAAAAAATCTTGCAAAAGAAATCTTCCATGTTCCAAGTTGGTTAAAGGTGTCGTGAGGTGGTGTTTAGTGGTGGTCAGTGCTGGCTTTCAGTGCCCTTGACAGCTGTTAATTGTATGGGGATGGGGCCACAGTCTTCAGCCAGAGCTGCTGAGGCAGGAGAAAATTCCTGTATTTCTGGTGCCTTCAGAGCACAGTGGTTCTGGGGCAGCTGAGCCTCAGAAACTTATTTCTTGCCCTTCATCGGGGCACACACACGTTTAGTCAAAAATCTGAAGTCAGTGGTAGAATTCTGATAAAACACATGGGGCAGGGGTGCGAGCAGGGGGTTAGGACTTGCCGCACAGATGTTGCAGGAGATGAGAAGAACCAACATGTCAAAAGGGGAGGGCTGCATCCGGCCTGGTCCCAGCTGGCAGTCCCATTGGCAGCCGTGCTGGCTCTCTTGCAAGTCACATCCTCCCATGAACCGGTTCCCTAGCAGCCCGGGCTGGGGGTGCCTGCTCCTCTGCTTTGCTCTGCTTTGGACTGGATGGGCTCGCAGCAGGATCCTGTGGATGGCCCTGTGGCTCGGAGGGGAACGGGGTGGGCAGCTGGGAGCAGAAAAGACTGAAGTTGGAAGCTGCTGGATCAGCTCAGCTTTCTTGGGAGGCACTCTGATTAAGGAGGGAAGTTCCATGGGATCATCTTAAACCTCTCTCAGATGTCTATGGTCCTGCCCTAACCTCAGCACTGGTGCCTGCCTGACCTTATGATGCCCAGGTGCAGGAAGCCAACCTAACAGAAAACGATACTTTTTCCTTAGTTTTCTGATGGCTTCCCTCTCAGTTCACAGCAGGATCAGGTGACACGGTGAACCCTGGGGAGGGATAGGAATGTGTGGACAAAAGCACAGGAGAGGGTGAGCTTGGGCCAGCACCGACTCAGGCCCTTAAGCTGTCATGAAACCAAGGATTGCTTTACCTTCCTTAGGCTGTGGTTTCTCTCACAGGGCTTAGTAAAAGACAAAGTAGGTATAGTGTGTAACTGAGGTGGAACAAGGCCGAGCAGCCATGGATGGACCATAAAGGAATCGCATTTAGGCAGCCACTTTGCTTTATTTGTTTTGRATATTTGCATAGTAGCTGTGAAACTAAGATAGAAAACTCATGCAGAAATACCGAGTGGATTTTACAAAACTTTTCCCAATGGGAAAAAAAAATCTTCCCTTAAGATCTGCGAATCATCAATTTTAAATAGGATTTTATTTTCCTTGGTGTAAAAGGGAAGGACAAAATATGAAAACATCTTTGTGTTTGTTTCTCACAGTGGTAACAAGCAGGTGTATCAGTTTCCCATGGACGTAACTCTTCCTGGGCTTGTTGGAGCTTTTTGCACCTATTTTATTCTGTCACTGCTCGGCCATTAATACTGTAACAGTTTTAAATCCACTTAATTCATTCTGTTCTTTTGTGAAAGCTGTGCATGAATGTCTGTGTTAACTAACAAATTCTATAATTGTCACAAACTCTTCCCTTGTTCTGTATTTATGTTTTCAGAGGGATTAGGAGAATTTCGTTTGAAGATTACCACAGGACGTGGGCTAAAATAGCTACATCAAAAGCAAGAGATCATTTTAAAGACTCATGTAAGACGATCCGTCTGTTCTAGCAAAATTGAACGTAACGGACTTGGTGCAGCCCCTCCACCGGATATGTTACACGGTGGTGTAACAATTCTGAATGCATTCAGGCTGTTCCTGCAAGCCTCGGACCTCAGCTGTCCAAAATTCAGTCAGATTCCGTGTTGACGTGAACTCATGTATGTCAGGACAGCCAAGGGAGTTTACAGCTACTGGAGATGAGCCTTTTTTTTCTATGATTTGAGGTCTGGCAGTGCTCTGGCATTGTAAGAACCCAGGGCACAGGGATGACCCCTTGCCTCAAAGGCCTCCTGTCCTTTCTGGCTGGGGAAAGTGGTGGGAATCTGAGTTTCATTTGGGCAGCAAGGTGCTGAGGAGTCATTAAAGTGTTAAAGTATCTTGAGATGATGATCTCAATGATACTCAGCTTTGATGAGACTCAGCTGTGGTCTTTGGGGAGCTCTGGTCAGCCGGCAACGTTCTCTTGCTGGATTTTGCTGTATCTATATCACTGACCAAACTGTATAATTAATAATATTTTACCAGGCTTTATGTGGTTTGTTTTATTACTATACCACATGTAAAACAAGTGGTGCAGCACCTGAGCTAAGGAGCACAGGCTGTTCTAGCCTGCCCAGAGCCAGCACAGGTGACTTGGTGCCTCTGGAATGGGTTTTTGGCAGCCCAGATAACCCRTTGGCAGGCAGAGGGGCCTCACTGTGCCTCAGCTGCATGCGTGCAGCAAGGCTCCCCGTTAAGTGGAAGTGGGTGAGTTCAGCACTAGACACTGCTAGGATGTGGTGGGTGATTTTGGTGGATTTTGGTGCTGCTCATCTGCCGCCTGTGGTAGTGAGGGAGTGCTGGATGGAAGCTGTGCTTAATAGCAGTACTCAGCTGAGAGGTGGGTAGGTCCTGATCCGGCCTCGTTGAAATTCATAGCAAAGTCCATACCAACTTGTAATGCAGTAAAATATTTATAACAAAATATAATATAAAGGGGATTTTATTACGAGCAGTGCAGATATCAGCAGTAACTARGTATACATAGTTTTAGATAATAATAATATTTAGATAATAGTTTGGTGGTTAGTATATACTTCTCTCTAAATGATATTTTCTTATTTTCTGTAATTATGTGCTTTTAGTTTATGAAGATCCCAAATTCATAGGGAACTGCAGTAGCTGGAAGGCCAAAAATGAGAAAGGAACTGGAGACGCAGATGAGGATGCGTAAGTTAAAATTGCTGCATGTTTACACGTGGAGGTCTTTGCAAATGCAGTGGCAGTATGTGGGAGTGATGGTGTTTTCAGATTCTGGGTGTCGGTCCCTGTGGGTCATTAAGTTATATAGTYCTCATCTTAAGTTTTACCTGGTAAGGTGAGTCCTCCGGTGTGAGTTGCCTGCTCTGAGGCAGGTTGGGAGGGAAGGAAACACTGTCACCAGTACTGTCTGCCCTGGCAGGTTTATTAGGACACTCCTCCAAAAGGACACCCTCCCTACCAAATGTTGCTTGATCTACTGGAACAATTTTTTCCTTGGTGTAACTGAATGAAATCATTAAAATTATTGACACTTCAGGTTAGCTGTGATCAAGGTTCTTAAAATTTTGTTCTTCTGAGCTTTCCTGTAGCTTAAGTTTGTGGGGAAAATTAAAAAAAGGGAAATTACAAGGCCAGAAGGCTGCCTCATGTCTCATAAGTATGAGGCATCTTATATTTTATTTCTTCTTGTGGTAACTCTATAACAGGTCAAAACTGCCTTCTTACTTTGAATCCCATTTGTCTTCAACATCAATTAGAAAGAAAAGGAGGACTTCATTGAATCTGAGGGACAGCAAGTGCTGAACTCAGACTCGGAGGGACTATTTCTTTCACGAGAAGCCTCTGGAATATAGGGTTAATTATCCTTTGACACRGCTTCCTTGTTTTATTTCCCTTAACAGAACTCCTTTGTTTTGTAAGTTTGATAATTGTTTCATCATGTAGTGGCCCTGCAGCCTGCAAGAGCGCCAAAAACGCTTCAAATGCCCTTTTCYGTGCGCACAGCTGAGGCAACCTGGAGTTGTTGCAGGATGGTGTCTTCATCTCCAACCACAGMAATTTTTTTTTCTTTTCACATTAAATTCCGCAGAAGTGGATAGGAAATTGCAAAGGTGACATTCTGATTTTGGTGGGGGAAAGGAYGCCTGGCGAGGGGCTCTGGGCACATCTCGGTGCCGCCTGGTGGCAGCAGATAATGTGCTTTTAACAGCCTGCCCCTTGCCTTTGAACTGCTGGGTTTGAGTGATCAAAGACAGGTCCAAACATTCAGCTGCAGGTTCAAACACAGGGTTGCCTCTCATTTTGTATTTTTTTCCCCTCCCTCAATTGCAAACAGCTCACAAAACATGCTTGTTTTTTAAAACTTGCAGTCTGTTCTTAACTTCTGGCATGGGATTAGAGAGGAAAGAGGCCAAAAGTTTGCTGACATAAGTGCAGTGAAAGAAATCTTAATTTCAGTTAYATAATAAGGCAAATGTTCGTGCTTAAATATACTTTGGTGAAATTGAATCTCTAAATTCAATTGCTTCTATAAAAGAGATTTGAAATACAGCTTGTTCTGTGTAATATGTTGTTAACATCACAGCGAGCAGTTTGCCCCTGTTGTGTTTTTACATGTTTGCTAATTACAGTGGCACTGAGTCAGTTTCTGGTTCGTTAAGTCAGCGTAAGCCTTCAGGGGCCAGTGATTTGTCCCGGCCTAACGAGCAGTTTGGTTCACATTCTCCTTGGGAAGGACTCGATGTTGGCACAGAAATAATGGTGAAACACAGGGAAATGTGAAGGTACAGTGCATAAAGATGGGGTTATATTAATGGGCTAGAAGAAGCGGAGGGCGAGGAGCAGTGCAGATCTTGAAGCAGCCCTTAAGCAGTGACGATAGAGACTGTGGGTTTGTTTTCTGATGCTGAAGACACAGGGAAAAGCAGAATAAAACCACAGCAGGTCTGGAGGGCGCATCCTGAGCGAGAGAAGAGCTGCCTCTGGACAAGTCCCTGCTGCAGCAGCTCTGGTTTTGCCAGCCCTAGCCCAAGGTAACMGGAGCTCCTGCTGCCAGCCCAGCAGCCTCCCTGCAGCGCTGCTGCTCCCTAGGAGCTCTGTGCCTGCTCACAAATACCTAGGAAATCCACGGAACAGAGATGTGCACAGCAGGAGTGTGCTTGGATCTGTTGGATCTTTTTCACTGTCCCTGTCTGATACACCAGGCATTCCCAGCACATGGTTTGTGTGCCTTTTTCTCTCTTCTGTCTGCTGGGATAAGTTGATAAAGAACATGCAGTTAGAGTTTGTGTAGATTTTTTGCTGAACTTCTTAGAAACACAAGTCCTGGAATTTCATGGCATGGTAAAAGCTGGTGTGCCATCTTGTGGCTGGYTAGGGATTGCAATGAGCAGATTTTCTCTTAATGATGACTTTTCATTAGAGATGCATTAAACATCTGACTAACAGAAGCATATTTAGGAACCAATTTTCCCACTTTATTCATATCTGTTCCTGAATATGTGAATTTTAAAAATATCCTCTAAAAGCGACAGGTATTAGACAAGCTATTGGATTGGCCTATGTGTTATAGGATGTTATTCTCCACTTTTTTTTTTCCTCCACTTTAACAGTCTTATTTCTCAGTTGTAGACATTTTTTGACATTGCAGCAATGACAAAGTTGAGTGATAGCAATTCACTGAAGGGGAGTGAAAATGGAGAACTGCAGCTATTTTTCAAAATTGTATTTAATCCCTCTTTTGTACTATTCCATCCCTAGTACAACAGTACTTTTCGGACTTGAATTCTCTGTTCAACAAATTAAAAAGAGAAGGCAAGATTGTTTATTTGCTAAAACTGTGTGAGAGTATTATTATATTGTGTGAGAGTAACAAAGTTATGTGTACATGTTAACATAGTTAATTTTTCTATTTTTTTTAGTTACTTTTTATTTTTCTCTTCTTTTGAGAAATATGAGTTGTTATGTAAGTCAATTTATATATATATATATATCTTTGAAAAATGTAAGTCCATTTCCAACACTTGTGAGGCCCAGTCCTGAAAGGTATTCAGCAGTCCAACAGAGAGCCAGCAAAGCTCTTATTGAATAATTATCTTCAAAACTGACCTCTCTGCAGTTAACTCCCGGCCATTAACTTTAGCCTGCCTTAATAGTGCTTGCACAGCCACTTGTTTGATTCCTGCTGTGTGAAAACAGATGTGTGCGTCCCTCAAGTTTGGTTTGCAAGCAAAATCAAAAGCCTATCCCATTCCTTCAGAAAGCTCCTGCTCAGCTCTACATCCTAATGCTTTTTGTAAGTGCTTGTTGAACTGAACCACAGCTCAAGTAATTTGTTGGGGGTTTATATCGAATTTTCTTAAGCAAATGTCCTAAATTGATTTAATTCATCAGATTACTTTTTTTTTTTTTTTTTTTTTTTTTTTTTTTTTTTACAGATGCACTGCTATGGTCTCTCGGCTCCTCAGAAAGCAGGGGTATCAGACACCAGGAGGACTGTCTGGCACGGGCGAAACTGAGCTAGAAAACTACCAGCTTTGCCAGCATCCAGGTAAAGAGTCAAACTATTAGAGGCCCCCAAAATACTGCATTACRTGAGATTGTTTCAAATGACTCAATGTCTAAATATATTTTTARGAGTATTGGGACCAGCTTTTCTTACAATGAGCTTTTCTTATCAGTGAACCTGTATACAATAACAGGAAAATCTTCCTTTTTTTTGCCCAAGCCAAGCAGGTGGGAGGCACGTGGGATGTCTGTGACGCTGAGCAAAGGAACCCTCCTAGCACTGCTCCCCAYGCTGCGGAGCAGAGCTGGGATGTATCTGCCGCTGCAATCTGAGGGCTTCAGCAGCCAGGAGAGAGCTGCTGACTCCACCCCATCCTTGGCCTGCTTTGGGTTCAGGGAGCTGCAGCCAGTTGTTGCATGAACATCTCCTGAAATGCCAAGTTTTTGACSGCAGAAACTGAAGGAGAAGGGAAAAAAAGTCTTTTGCAAAATCCTGCACAACAAATCACTGCAGATTGAACCTTTCAAGCTTAGTAACAGAAGGGGCAGGACTTAAAGTTGTCTGTACAACAGGCAGGGGAAGCTGTTTATTGGAAACACATGACTGGAGAGTGAACTCTGTAGTTTGGTTACACTGTCTTACAATTGCATTTTTCCTTACAAGCCTAAGTGTTTCCTTACCAAGCCTGTGTTTGGAAGGAAAAAAAAAAAAAAAGAGGTGATGCATTAAAACAGATATTTTTGTCAGTACCATAGAAGCAAAATGCTTTACAGATACTTTGTAAGAGCATTGACCATTGCTGTACAACCCAAGTTTAGGTGCATATTTTGCATGTGAAAAATATAAATTTCCTAAACTCTTCTGTTCTTTTTTTTTTTCTTCTTCTTTTTAAGAACAGCATACAAAGCAAGAGCTTGGTGGTTTGGAGCGTTGTGATTTTCTAGCATTCAAAGTATATGACATCACTAACTGGCTTCAAATTAGTCAGAAAAAAATGTTTTAAAATAGCACCATATTTCTCAATAAATCTGTTCCTTGTTTGTCTTAGGGGCATATGGGCTTACTTAACTGACAAAAACAAATTATAATACTGTTAACATAGCAGAGTCCTAGAGCTATAAAAGAGCAAATGGGAATCCTGCTGACAGAATCATTAATATAGATAATGATGGGAGTGGTAGAAAGGTTATTTCACTCATTCAGAACAGAACTTTGTGATGTTCAAGCTCTGAGACAGAAAGAAACTTTATTTGGCAGGTTAAAAAGCAGTTGTCCAGAATAGTTTGGAAGAATATGTGTAGTTTACTTTAAATGGATGAGTGGCCAGATTTCAGGCAGAACTGTCAACAGCAGATGAAAAAATATACTTTATTACATTATTCTGCAAGTTGTTACCCAAATACTTKCTATTTATAGTTGGTGTCAATCCCCATGTTCTGTGGGCGTTCCCAGCAAATAGTTCCTTGTATTATGACAGATACAGATCTGCATTTAAACTGAAAAATAYGATTTGGCCCATTTTGGAAGCCTCCTTTCTACTTGGTCTGCTGTCCTGACTTCTTCAGTCATTATTAATCTTCTCTCATGTTTCAAAACACAGATGTGCCTGTGTGCCTCCCGTCAGAAAGGCAAAGAGGGGATGAAGATGGACATGACAACCAAGAAGAGCTATGGGAGAAGGAAGTCGACCATCTAGTAGCTTGGACAAACACTCTATCTAGTGGACTAGAGGATTAAATTGGAAGAAGTATATATGCAGATAAGCAAGTACTGTATTATTTTTAAACAGTCTGAGGATTTTTATGTCATTGTATCAGGCAAGTCTTTAGTTGTGACTTGGTCTTTTTGTCGTGATGCTTTTGGCTTCAGTTAGAGAGTGAGTAGGGATGGAACTAGAGTCTGTCTTACCCATACAAGCATGGCATTTTACCAGCATTTGTACCCCTAGTGCGCTCAGTGATTTGTTTCTGTGTAATTGTTTGGAACTTATTACCTAAATAGCTTGACATTTTTAGGTGTTCTAGCCTCTATAGGGCTTAGAACCATGACAAGGTATAGCTATGGCTGTGGAGAAGTATCTAGATTTGACTGCATGGCAGAAAAGAGCTGTTGAGTGAGAAGATACTACTACTTATATCAGATAGTGGGTGTGTTCAGAATCTAAATCCAACAGTGCTAATTTTTCACTCCAGCCTTAAATCAGATCCTGTGTCAWCCTGGATGATGAGACAGTATTAACTTACATTACTGGCTACGAAGTGGGTGGATGTGGCATTTCTCCTGAAAGAACTGTGTGTGTCTCTTAACTCTTCCTGGCTTATCCATTGTAGCCATCACTGGGTAACTCACAGGTGTGTTGAGATGCATAAAAAGGCCAAATGACATATAGGTAGGCAGGATGGTAAAGATTCATATAGCTTGGATCAAGACTCAGGTTTCAAGAAGGAGCCAGGTAGAGTGCAGAATCACATCGGTAGAAGGTCTTTTGAGCTTACAAAAGAAAATGTTTTTACAGTCTTCAAGTTCGCTGCCTTTTAACCACATTTGCATGCTGCCAAAGGAGAGATGTAAGTACATTTTACTACTTGCACACTGTGTCCTAAGGAAAAAGAAATGTAGGACTGAAGCACTACAGTGAAAGAGAAAAGAGATAAGAAATATGAATGTCAGAGCTCTGAAACCTGTACGCTAGCTGACGCATGGGCAGGTGGCTGTCATGAGGCAAGCCTGATCCACTCGTGCTTTTGTGTGGCCACGTGGGATCTTCCACCTGTTGGGTTGTGGGAAACCCACATGAAGGTGCTTCCTTGCAGCGGGAATTGGAAGATTTTATGAATCATAAAATTCATTACAGGACTGAGGTGGGGGGAATCTGTCACCTGTCCACAGCTGTGCTGCAGGGCCATGGCCATGGACAAGCCACATTGTCTAAGACTTTCTTCCCCTTGACCTGTCTTAATCTACAAGTAGTAAGTTCTTGGGAGCAAGAATTGTTTGTGTGATGTGCTTAAATGTTCATAACCAGTCCAGTCATCTCTGAAAACACTGTACTATTTCTAAAGGAAAGCAGAACCTTTGGAACATACCGATAAACTCACTTTCCAAAGAAAATCCATCGAGAAAAATTAGCCTGTAATACATGAGGATTTGTTAAATCTTGCATCTTTTATATATACGCGTGTATTTACCTCTGCTGAAATCTGTTGCTTAATTTGATCAAGGAGTGTAACTAGGAGTTGGGTAAAAAAGGCACAGAGTTGCATCATGCATGGACTTAACCATTTGCATCTGGAAAATTAATAAACTTCCATGGTCCAGCAGCACCAGTAGGGTCAGCAGGCACGAAGCAGGTCTGAGGTGGTACCAGCCCTGCCAGGCTGGTGTCTGAAGGGCAGGATGGTGACTGTGCCACATCCTGGCGAGTGTCTTTCAGGAAGCTGATCCCAGCTTTGGTTTGAGGGGTGTGTGACGGGGGGAAGCCGTAGCCTGTGTTTCAGGCTCTAGATGCAGATGATACCGCTTTAATCCTGTTAAGCGCATGTGGAAAATGTTTCCTGCTACAGATACCTCCTATCTTTTCCGATGGAAATCGAGCTCCAGATTTGCCTGCATATGGAGCGAATGGGACCCTGTGCTGCAGACCTTTAAATTTCGCACCTCTTTACGGCCCTTCTGTGTGACCTGCGCTCGGTGGAGCAGCCTGTAGGCAGAGCTTGGCGCCGGTGGCGCGTCTGCCGTGTGAAATAGAGCGCGTGTGGCAGCAGTCGCACTAAAGGCGAACGTTSTTCAGTCTTCTTTTGTCATCAGGAAGAGCCAGCCCAGTGCAGACACCCCTGGGCCGTGGCTCTGGTTCCTTGCGGTGCTTTCGCAGGGGTGAGCGACGTCCCCAAGGCCCTTGCCGGACCCTTGTCGCCGGAGCGGAGCCGGCGCTGCGGCCGGGCGGCCCCTTCTCCTCTAGATGGCAGCGGCCCCCTGCTTGCCGAAACGCCGCGCGCCGGYCTGGCTGCCAAAGGGTACGGCCTGCCTCCCACCGCCTGTAAAAGCCCTCCAGCTTTTCCACAGGCAGTGTGTCCTGCTGTGGGAGGGTGTTGAATGCAGCACAGTGGGAAGGCTCTTCAGACGAGCAGCTTTCCTGCTGCCTGCACCAGCGCCGAAGGGATCGGGCCAGCGYGTGTCCCCTTGGGCCGGGCTGCGCGCTGTGCTCACCCGGGCCTTAGTGCCAGCAGCAGCAGGAAGGCTGTTGTGCTGTGCAAGCCTTGAACACGTCCATGGCGCAGCCCCTGGGGGAGGCCCGGGCCTGCGGAGCCGCTCGGCTCCCCGCGCCGCATCCGCACCGGAGCGGCCCGTGCTCCTGCCGTGCAGATGTGCGCCCGGCCTGCACCGCCTCGGATGTGTGGGGGAAAGAGCACAGAAGCGGCGCTGGGCCTGTGTGCTGTGCTCCATGTGCAGGGCAGATCCCYGTGCTGTGAGCAGGCGGCCTCACTGCACAAAGTGGAAGGCACTCCGTTTCCTCTCTGCTGTGCTTTCTGTGGGATGCACTAAAAGCCTGAGTAATAGTCCCCAAACACTCCAGATTCAGCACATCAGCAGGGTTACAGTGCAGAGCAGGACAGTGCTTGCTCTGTACGAACGTGTCACAAGGCCATCATATTCAGGGTAGGCTGAGAAGTAACTCACAGGGGTTTAGTAAAATGCAGGAGCTCTATCTCATAGCAGGAGTCACAAAAGTCAATAACTGTTTTGTTACCCCTGGTAGAAACTTATGCTCCTAGAGCACATGTAACTGTTTGTATTACACTTGCCGGTAAAGGTTTGCAAGGTAACAGTTTTTTACTCCTTTTTATAATAAGCTTTTCTTTCTTCCTTTTCTTTTTTGTTTTCAAGGGGTGACCTTGCTCAGAGTCCAGCCCTAGGCTTGAGTGACTTCAAAGTGCTGTCTGGGATCAGCAGGGAATTCTGCCGGCGAGGGACTGCTGCCTGGCTGCCTCCTGCTTCCTTTCCCACCAGGAATGTCCTGTGGCTTAACATCCAGCCAGCAGGTTGATCAAAGTTAGCCGGTGAGAAACAACACTGCCCGCTCAGCCGAGGGGTRAGAGAATGAAAGTGGAAAGATCCCTTTTATCTTGAGCACACTGTAATATATGTTAATAATTTAGAGCATCCAAGGACAAAAAGAGAGCCCTTGAAAGGGAGGTGAGAGAATGGCAGAAGTTTCTGAGAGTTGTTTACAAAGCAGCTAAATCAAACAAATCTCTCATTTGACTCTCTCATTTGAAAGAGGTGCGAACAAATTCTTAATTAGATTGATGCCCGAGGCAAAGTGCCTTCTGCTGAAGTTAGGTTGCCTAGTGTTTTCTTTTTAAAGGGAAAAATAAAGAAGGAATAATCTAAAATCTAGAGGCCTGGTCCCCTGCTGTGTTGATTGCTGGTGTGAATAGCCCTGAAGGTTGCAAGGTTTGCCTTGAAGTGGAGCCCAGTCTGCGGGGAGTTGTTGCCAGCCTCGCAGTTCCTACCTTTCCCTCTCTCCCGGGCTCTGCAGGGCAGCGGGGAGGACATGGACCAGCCAGGGCTGTTTTGCTTTAAGGTGGAGCAGCCCTCGTGCTGGCTCTCTGCAGCACTTAATCCGGGATTTTGGAAAYTTAGCATAGCTCCGAGCTAGCCGGGCAACGCTCCTTGGAGGCACTGGGAAAACTTCTGTGGCCTTTGTCCGTATTGTCACGCACTGCCTGTGCCCAGCACTGCCGCCTCCATTGGAGAGCGGGTGTTTAAACCACCTGAGCACATCCCCTTCTTGTGCTTCATGTCAAAGGAGTGATTATCAGCAGAAATGTGATTGGAGTTCCTTGGGATTGAGCCAAGCAGTATCCTTGTGTCCTGAATACAGCGCGCGGAGCCGGGGGGAGCGCGGGGGCCAAACCAACCCGCTCGGAGCTGGGCGGATGAGCGGCACGGAGCCTGGCCCTTTGAAAGCTCCCCCCGCTGTTATCCCCTCGCCGCCGGGGGCTGCGCTCCGATGCTTTCCGCGTGCCCATGGAGCAAGGACAGCTGCGATTGGAAACGATGGCGCATTCATTGTTAAATTACGCTGGAGATCCCAGGAAATGCATGTTCCTGCCACATTAAAGCCGCGTTACTTTATCATGATTAATTGCACAAGGAATATCAAATGAATTATTGATTGGGCTCCCATTACCACAGCAGCTGGCTGTCGTTACTGTGCCTGGTGGTCTGTGATAAGTATTGCTCTTGTCGTTTTCTGGGCTAAACTCTCCAAGATGAACCATAATCTACATTCCCACTACTAATAGATGCCAATTTTCCTGCTTTCAGTGGTCAGAGGAAAAGGCATTAAAGGATAGACCAGGCATGGAATAAATAGTCTTAAGTTGCTTTTAGTACCTTGTTAAGGCCAGAAGAATTAAACTGTGCTAGAAAGGGAAGCAACCCCCGCAAAGTGCTATTAGTGCAGAAGGCAACCGTTAGGCATTGCATGTGGAGGTCAGCTTTGATTTTTGCTGTGTTTGTTCCATGTCCAGCATTAGGCTGAGCAGATCCCCCTGCAAAGTGGGGCAGGGCTGGGCATACTCTGGTGCAAAGYGTGTCCCCTTATGCCACTGCTTTCTCCCCAACTTCAATAGCGTGTCAGAATCTCTGTCCCATTTTAGCCTCGAACATGCTATGTTTCAACTGCAGGTTAGAGGTAGAGGAGGTAGCTCCTTTCTGGTGATTCCCCCCAAACGCGGTGCCCGCCAGCAACTTCCYGCGGAGCCGGCTCTTCCATGGCACTCCTGAGCGCACTTTGTCCCGGACACTGCAGGAGCGGCGCGGCGGGACGCGATACGTGCGCGTTACAATGCGCCGAGGGCTATGACTAATTGCCATGACGGGGCAGAGCTGGTGGGTGCATTGCGGAAGGCGAAGGCGCACGCTCCACTCCGCTGCCGGCTCCGCTGGACGGCACCCAAGGCCCCCTCGCCGGCCAGCTCTCCATCATACGTGTGTCCGAAGGAGCCGAGCTGATGTCGTGGCCATTTGGGGTTGATTAGTGACAGAAAGARAAAAATGCAGGAGCAAAGTGTCTCCTCTCTCACAACTTATTTCTGCTGTTGTGACTGCAGGGTGTTTCTGCCCTTGCCCAGCGTTCTGCACTGTCTCGAAGCAAAACTATCCATTCCTGCAACCCTCAGACTAAGGGGAACGCTGCAGTCAGCAACGATAGTCCGTCATAAAGTATCATCAGCTTCACTAAGAAAAACATTATCAGTGTCTACATTTTACAGTTGGAGTTGGAGAACTTTAAGCCATAAGAGGTGAACCGATCTACTGACAGTCACTAGGATAAAGAGCAACCGCTTACTAAATCCTGCAGGATTTAACCACCAGCCACAGTGGTTGGGAGCATTGGATGCATTGCCTTGTTCTTCAGTGCTGCATTTTTCCCAAACAGGAAAAG